CACACCCTGGGGCCCCGCCTCAGCCGTGTCACCCGCCACAGCCTTCTCCTGTCCCCACCCCGGCAGCCTGTCACACCCCCCGCCACACCCTGACACGCTCGTCACGCCCTCGGGCCGTGTCAGCTCTGCTGCCCTCGTCACTGACCTCAGCCCGGGCACACCGCTGTCACACCATCACCCATCACCCCCACCATCACCTGCCGCAGCCCCTCTCACATCCCTGTTGCAGTCCCTCATTATCCCCATCACCCCATCACCTCTTGACACCTTCCAGCTGAAGGAAAGGCTCCATGTCCCTCTGGAGGGGCTCGCAGAGCCACGTGTGGCTGAGGTGAGGCACCTCTGGAGGTGACCTGATCCAAGCCCTGATCCAACCTGATGCAGCTCCAGCAGGGCCACTCAGCACTGGCTGCCCAGGGCCATGTCCAGATGGCTTCTCAATACCTCTGAGGATGGAGCCTCTGCAACCTCCCTGGGCAACTGTGCCAGGGCTTGGTCATCCTCACACTGAAAAAGTGTTTCCTGACGTTCAGAGGGACCCTCCTGCTTTCCAGTGTGTGCCCACAGCCTCTGGTCCTGACACTGGGCACCACTGGGTGCCCGTGTCCCTCTGCTTTGCACCACTGCTCCAGTCCCTCACTCATCTTCGTGGTCCCTCACCAGGCTCTCCCCAGTGCATCCCTGTCTCTGTTGTACTGAGGAACCCAGCACCAGACACAGGACTCTTGGGGTGATGCACCATTGCTGAGCAGAGGGGAAGCATCTCCTCCTTCCATATTCTGGCAACATTTTGCCTAAGGCAACCCAGGACACCCTTAGTCTTCTTTGTAGCTTATGTTCAGTTTGGTGCCCACCAAGTCACCTCCAGGTCCTTTTCAGAAAAGCTGCTTCACAACAGAACTGGACCTGGTTTTGATCCCTGGGATACACTGCTAGTGATTGGCCTGCAAGTAGACTTTGTGCCACTAATCACCACACTCTGGGCCAGTTTTCAATCCACCTCGTTCCCTCACCTCCCTGAGTCCTAGGGGAGCTGCCAACCCCAGCTCTGCCCCAAGTCCATGCCAGCTGGGTGCAGGCAGACCTCAGCACCAGCTGAGGCAGCAGAGCAGAGCTCGAGACACAAGTTGCTTGCTTTTACTCTGGGGCTGTTCCTGGCTGGCCTCCAAACATCAGCTTAGGCTCAGCTGGAAATCAGCCTTGGCTCCAAGCTGCTTCATGCTGGCTGTTGAGGAGCCTTTCCAGCCTGTAGGTGACAGGGCCACCCCTGTCCTTCCTTTTCTGTAGGTGTGCACTTTCAAGTCAAAACCAAGGTGAGGCTGGAGCCATCAAACTGTGTGTGGATTTGACACTTCTTGATATTCCTATTAATGGGAAAAGTAGCACTTGACAAACAGAGGTGATAAGCCTTAGGCTGCTCTCCCACTTTGAAGTACATGGGGAGATGGCTTTCTTTTCCTTTGGGTGCTACCAAAGGAAAAGGACCCACAGGGTTATTGATTCACAGGGATTCGTGCAGGGTTTGGAAACTTTGACAAAACCTAAGAGAAGTACCCCTGGGAAGACAAGCACGTGGAGTCAACTCTGCACAGCAAAACTCCATGAGCTTTCCAGGTGCCTGAGACTGAATGATGAGGAAAACCAAAAGGATTTTATCATTTTATACTGAATGCAGTCCAGGCAAGACTTTCACAGGATCTTTAGAAAACAAGGAGGATGTGTTTTATGAGTCTCACTCTCTCAGGGCACTCAGCCCTGGAGAGAAAAGGCAGATGTGACACCCACTCCTGCTGAACCTGTCCTAAAAAAGCAGGAGGAAAATCAGCTGTCCTTGGGGAAGGCGGCCACTCCAGAGTCCAGCATATCAGCCCTTCTTACCAGGACTGCAGAGTGAAGATGAACATCATCTCTTAGAACCTGGAGGAGCCACAGAAATGCATAAGCAAAGCAGTCAGCCCCTGCATAAACTGGAGTTCATGGCAGCACATGCAAAGGCCAACACCTGAGACACAGGTTGTGCAGGTGGTTGTTTCACAAAGCGACAGCTGGAGCTGCCCTGCTACACAGCTGAGGTGTTCATCTCTCCTAGTGCATTCTGCATGGTACCACAACAAAATTCTGTGTTAAGAGGGAGATTTGCCTTCCACAGGGTGCTGCTGTTTGGGCAGAGACACTCAAACATCGAGTTGGCAAAGTTGTTTCTGATGGATAACTCTCCCGGTGGCGTACGCTGGGTTGTCGGCAGTTTCCTCGCTGGGGACATCTGCCTCGGTGCTTTCCAGTGGGACACAGGCAGGCTACCAAACCGGCTTGCCAGGCTGACTCCTGGCAGGAAAGCCAGCCAGTGTGCTGCCAGCTCCTCCAGCTGGCGCCTTGGCTGCCTGGCTGCGGGCACCACGGTGCCTGCTGGCTCCTGATGCTGCCCGGCACTTCCCACAGCAAAAAGCCCTGTTTGCAGTTACATGGAATTTTGCCAAGCTTTACCTACTTTCACTGAAATGCTAGTGGGCTGGTTTTATTATTATTATTACTATTTTCAAATCTGGCCAAAAAGGTCCAGCTGTTTCCCAGAGCAAAGTCAGGGAAAATATATTTTCGTCCATTAAAAATATCATCTTGTCTGAAGACAAGATCTCTGGAGTCTGGTGTTTGGCAAGGGACAAATCCCCTGGCAGAGGTGTGCTGGGTCTCCTGCTGACCTCTGAAAAGCTTTGTGTATTGCTGGACAGAGCTATAAAGTTAAAACCTGTACCCCACATTCCTGCAGGCACAAAACCTCTGGGCTCTCCGTTGATGCCATCCCTGCTCACCATCCTATCATGACTCCACTGGGTACCCAGCTGCCTTTCCCCATCCTACTGAAATATTGCCTGTCTCAGGCTAGAGCATCTCAACCATGGGCTGGTGCAGATACCTGATGTTATAATTACCTTTGCAGTGTTAATCAGCCTGTGCACAAAAGCACTGCTTTGTAGACAGCTTTTAATTCATGTCCCCATGTTGAGCTTTTTCATGGAAACCCCATCCCACCTTGCACACAAAGAGGACCTCCAGGCTGTGCCACATATGTCCCCTCTTCCTCATCTCAAAACCTTTCAGGTCCCAGAGGAGGTCAGCACTGCCAAAGAAGCATGATCCTCACAGCAGCTGTCACAGGCAGCACGGGATTCCCCCGCTGAGGCCAGTGTGAACCTCTTCCTTTCCCCAAAGGACCAGCTGCTTCCTTGCCAATGCTGCTGGGAGACAGGCACCTCTCACAAGGAATTGTGGCCTCCCAGCAGCCTGGCTTTAACCTCGGAAATAATGAGTTTTCATCTCCGTGGAGAACGAAGCCGGCCTGACTCTGCACAGAGACAAAGCCCCAAGTTTGCCGCCAGCTCTGCCCACAGCAAGAGGAACACGGAGCTTCTGTGAGCTCACACAAAGCCTCCCTTGTGCAGGAGAGGATCCAGCCAAACAAACGATCTCCTTGGCTGCATGTCTCCTGGTGCTCCATCATTTTTACTATTGGCTGGGTTGTTCCCACAACCAAGGAAAATTTAACAAGGAAAAGCATCTGATAAAAATCTATTGACCGCAGTAAAGCACCAACCCAGCCAAACCAGTCTGTGCAGCACAACCCTCGCAGCCTTTGGGATGTGTCCATTCAGTTTGCCACCTAGAAAAACAAACGCTCTGTGGTACTTGCAACACCACCAGTGTGGAGGCTTTGAGTAAAGCTTGTGTTACCACAGCGCAGATAGATGTTTGAGAGATACTTCCTTCCCCAGGCCCGGTTCCCTGTTGTGCAAAGACAAGTCTCTTATGTCATTTGCTTGGCATTTTGTGCTTCTCTTGTTGTGTTTCCAGACCATGCTGCTCCCCTTGCTGCTGGCCTTGGCACTAAGGTCCTGACTCCTGGTGACAGAAGTTCTGGCCAGGTGTCCTGCAGGAATGATACACCTTGTCATCACTGAGGAACTCTGCAAGAAAACTACTTTTGGCCACTGATGCCTTCAAGTTTCACAAGGATTAGTCACAGGTGGTTCAAATCTTGCCTTGGAGACAAATCTCAAGGCGAGACTTGACTTCAAGACAAAATTTGAACCACCTGTGAGTAATCCTGCCAGACTTGCATTGCTGAGATGGATAGTGTTGTTTCTGGAGGCAGCAGCTGGAACGAAAGCTTCCATGGTGAATGGGTCAGATACCAGCAGGATGAGGCCACCAGCATGTTCCTCTTGGTTGAATTAATTTCAGCAGATGTGGAGCACACATGAGCAAACCACTTAACACCCAGAGACAATGGTGTTTGCCACCCTCAGAGAAGGTGGCCTGTGGCTGTGTGGCCAGCAGTGAATGACACCAGGCAGGTAGAGCTGTTGCACAGGAGATCTGCTGTACAGCTTACTTAGCCAGCTCCTGGAACACACCTCTGGATGGGAACCTTGCTTTTTTATGAAAGCACACATGGAGACTCTTGAGGGTGCTGCCTGCAGAGGATGATGTGGTAGACCTGGAAGAAGGGCAGCACTGTTAGAGGAGGGCCCAGGACCAGGCTGACCCCACACATTACTGTGGCAGCCATCCATAAGCCATTTCCATAGGCAGGACAGTAG